GAAGGATCTATATTTTCTAGCATCTTCCTCTAGAGTTTATCAGCTTGTTCTGTGGAGTCAAGCAAATGTGTTTCTGCAGCTAGGAAAGTCTTTGACATATTCCTAGGCTGCAATGTTCTGTAGGGCTGTTCAGCCTTACTCTAAACCAAGCAAATCAGATTAAAGTGGAGGAGGAAGATGACAGTGTAACGGATATGTTCACTGTATTATTCTAAAGAAGGCAACCACACAGGGCCAAGATACCCTATATTAAAAATAATACATTTTCTCTAAAGAAGGAGTGTTACTATATTTTAAACAACAGATTTTAAAGGTTTGAGTCATCTTGGAGCTGAATGTTCTGCTGCTATTGGTTTTGCTTTTCTAATGGTCCTGTGTAAATATGCTTGTGTTTGCTTATGAAGTTAATTTAGTGCTGGTGAAAGTCTATCAGTCTTTTTAGATTAAAAATGGTTTACATTCACTATATAAGAGGTATGGCACAAACATTTCTGGCTGGGTTTTTTCCACCAAGCTTGGAAGTCCTAGTGGAGTGGGACTTTCTCCATTCACTTGCAATGATGCATCAATTAACCTCTTACTCTCTTCCAAGCAACGTGAATGGCTTTAGCTATCACTTTCACCAAAAGTGGCTTATTAGTATCTTTTCTTAAACAACCTTGTGGTTTTAAAGGCCTCGACCCAGCAAGTTAAAACCATATTTCATTCTGTGTTTCTGCCATTGTCAATAAAATGTAAAATTAAATCACGTAGAGCTTGAAGTAACAAACTTTCTAGACTCCAGGGAGCTGAACAAGCAGCCATTTCAAACCATGAAGAGCTGGCTGAAGACACTGGTTGACAACACTTGTTGGCATCTTTTAAAAGGAGTTGATATGCATGTGTTTGTTCCTGTGTATAAGAAGAAACAGGGAAGCCCATGCTTTAACATGCTTCATTCCCAGTTGAAGTGATCTGAAGGCAATACTCCCAGTTTCAGGAAGCCTGGAAAAGAGGCTTACCTACTCCATCCAATCTCCTTTGTTTCCCACTCATGATAGCCCATCACAGACTCTTTCTCTTACTTTTCCAAGGTCATCTCACTATATTTTTTCCCCTTTATGAGCAGAGTCTGAATTACAAGCGTGTGCCCCGGGCTACCATTCCTGTGGCTGGTGTAGTCTGCTAACGGCAGCAAACTCATACTGCAAACTTGCTTTAGTGTTTGGTCTTCCCAGACCCAGTAGGATGATTTCTCATTAAACAGACAATGGATGAGTGTCTGGAATTGGACAGCCACTAGTACAGACATTGTTAGTTCTGCATAATCACTTAATTTTCCTTAATAACCATATTATATATATATATAAGTTGACAGTACTGAACTGGTAACAAATCTGTTACAATTGCTAATCAGATCTCTATTGTTTGTCAGCATTCAAGAAAAATTCCATTACGTTTACTATCCCTAGATAAATAGGAGAATACCACGACAAACCATGAAAGACAGGAAGAAGTGAAAAACTACCCAGAACGGATAGCATGTCTTCCTCACTGCTTCAACAGAAAGGAAACCATTTTGTCCCACAGATAACAGGCATATCTACAAATTGGAAGGTTTCTATTTGGTCTTAGAAAATCTGTTTGAAGACTTATGATCCAGTGCTTTGTATATCTCTAGGGACAGAAGCCAGCCAAAAATATGGAGGCCTGAGGGGAGAAGAGAAACACTGGAATGAGCAAGGGGGAAGGGTACAGGAGGCAGAGCAGTGACACTGTTTGAAAGCAAATGCTCTTACAACAGCTCTGAAAATGTCCTGGGTGTTTTGTTTGACATTTCAAGCTAGCAGTTTCACCTACCCATAGATTATCAGATCAAGTCACTGCACCTTTATCAGATACTAATTGTATCCGGGTCAGGGCAGCTCTTTGTTATCTCCATCTGGGAATTCTGGGCTTATTTGCTTAGCTATTAAGGTGTCAAGAAAGGGATTTTTAGCCTAAAAAGAAAATAAAAAAAGAATAAAATATCCTAGAGTGAGGCATTCTGAAGAGTTTCCAGGCTGACTAAAAAGTGATCCTACACCCTTATAGACAGCAGCATCCTCTGAGGGGAGAATGCCACAATATAATATATCAGTCACTGTGCAATAAGAACCAAAATCACATTTTTCCTCTTTTTCTTCTTTTTTTTTTTTAATTCAAAAAATTAGGAGAATTGCTTTCTTTTCTTGCCAGAAAGTGCAACATAAATGACATAAATACAAGGAATTTTTGAAAGGCAGTGTGAGATTTGCAAGGTGAAAGAAGCCTGAATTAAATGTTAAAATTAAAGCCACAGCCTTTATTACAGAGGAGTTGTGAAAGTTAAGGGCATTATGTTTCAGTCCTCTAGGGTAGAATTTACGTTACGAATCTCAGAAGAGCTCTTGCTCACACATCAACAGGGGAGAGCCAGTACGGTTTCTGCCCTTTCTGGGGGAGGAAAGATGATGCAGAGAACACTGTGGCTAGTTTGCTGTTATTAGCATTAACATCAATAAAGAGCACAATTTTTACCACCCATCATGCCCCTCGTTACTAGAGTACACAACCTCCCAGCCTCCACCCAAGAAAATTATATCATTGCATGAATTAATCATCTGGGCAATTAACAGCAAAAGAGACCTCAGGTTTCCAGCACAGTCTCTGGCACCAGTGAATTGGCAATGACGTAAGCTGCCCTGGGAATACGCTGGCGTTTTGCCTGTTCCTGAGCCTTGGTGTTGACTCTGAGGGCAGAAGCAAACAATGTAGTCACCCAACCGGTGATAAAAGCTGCAAGCCAATGCCAGGTTACTGCTGCTGCAGCATCAGAGAGATGCTCCTCCTGCCAAAGCCCGCCATGTGCCTATCCCAAGGAAGATGAGTATCCCAAAATAGGCAAGTGTAAATGGCTTCCTCTGATGTGCAGAGGGATGGACTCTCCAGGTGGACTGAGTATCTACCTCCTTTTTAGTAAGGACAGGCTCCTACTCTGCGCCTGGAAGTTATGCAGCCTTTTGCAGTATGTGTATAAACAGGTTATTTAGCTATTCCTCTGATCCTGGGGCAGAAATGGGAAAGTTTATTTTGAGATGACCAGGCCTGTTTTGCATCATTTCTTAGCTCATTCTGTTGCTGTGAGCACTTTGAAAGTTGGAGTCAAATTCAACTATGACCATGTTTTCTTTAAGAGAAGCTGAAGGACAGGAAAGGCAAGAAATCAAGCCTTGTCTTACACCTGTATTTCAGTCAGCTGTTTCAGGTGAGATGAGGAGAGCAGGACTCCATCCTATAGGAATCTGCAACACATTTCCTGTGAGTTTTCCATCACCAAACAGGTGGAGCCTTTTTGTACCTGTGCCAGGTGAGTGCCCCTTTGGTCTCACTTGGGGCACCTGCACAAACTGTGAGACAAAAGGGGTCAGACTCAGCCCACTACCCCCAGCAGCACATCCCAGAGACTTCAGGAGAGCATGGAGGTGGTCTCTGATGGGAATGTCAGTTGGGTTTGTATTTTCCCATCTTCAGGGCATGTGACAAAACCACAATAAAAAAAAAAAGGAATTCAGGTAGGGGAAAGTTGACTCTTGATCAATGAAATTTGATGTCAGGGAGGCAGGAGAACTTGGCAAACAGGTTTGGTTAATCTAAGACAAGCCATTTTCTTGATTTTCCCTATGAGGCTTTCTGCCTTACTGCTCTTTTCAGAGGGAGCTTCTGGCTATTGCTTTCTGAGATCACAGAATAAGCCCATCTCCCTCAGCACTCATCATAAGAGTAAGTTTCCAACTGAGATGAGATATCCACAGGTGAGCAACATTGTCTCAACAACACTTTCCTCTGGATCCTAGCTTAAAAAGAATTCGAGTAGGGGAGAGCATATGAGAAGCAGACAGACCTGTTAATGCCTTACAGCAAGCTGTGATCCCACTCAGGTTAGTGACATGTTACCAAGCCTGGGACAGCCTTGTCTTAAAGGCTTGCAAAGATGTAAGCTGCAGAAGGTCAATTACATCATTATCACTGCAAACAACATTCCCTGTCTACACAGCTTAATACCACTTGTCACATTTGTAATCCAGCTTCCCCGACCTGCCTTGTCTGTTTAGCAGTCACTTGTTATCAAAGCAAACCCAGTGAAACAAAAGAAAGGACAGAGGCTAATTTGCTTCATGTGCTCCTGCTCTTCCAGATAACATTAATCTGTGGGCTCTTGATCCTCAGTGATGCTCACCCTTTCTTAGCATCATTAAAAGGGAGATAAGAAATCTGTGGAAGCAACTCTATAGGTTATCACTTAAGCAGCATGAAAACAGGAGGGTTTGATCCTCAGTTCTTCTGGCCAGTCAAATAACCTATCCTGATTCCCCCGCCTTGCTTTCCAGGTGTAGCTGGCTCTGCAGGCAGGATTAATCCACTTTCCTACTCACTTGCACTCTCCATGTTAGAGAATCTGATTACGCAGATTGCTTGTAATTTATCTCCACCTGCCACGACTAATGCTCCATTCTGACCTCCTCTTTCCCATTTTAACATCTCACTGCAGGTCCAATACATACACAAACAGATGCACACACACTTGCTCTTTTTTAATGGCAAACAGCTCACTAAGAACCTCAGCATTTCCATTTTTAATCAAACCAGAAAGCACAACTGTTTTCCCCACACTGCCCATGAGGTAATTTCTCCCTTTTGACTCCTTTCATTACATTTATAATTCACAGGCTTCCTACGTTGCTGCTTTATCCACATAAAACGTAGTCATCTCCATACAGACACGCACAATGAACACGCAATGTTATAAACCCCTGCAGCACATATAAAGACAAAGGCACAAGCTACATGCACTGAGCAAGTGCCACCACATGCATTCCTGTTCTCTCCAAACCCTGCAGGAAAACACTGCCTGCAGAGTGCTTTCCTATAAACAAAATCAGCCTTGCAGCACAGGGTCAGTACATGAATCTGGCAAATGCTGTTCCCACTTGTTCCCTTACCTTTCCTTAGTCTGCTAATTCAGGGGCCCTGGACTGAGTTGCTTTCTCTCCTGCACACAAACTGCCAGTCCCTCCTGCTTCACATTCACAGCACACTAGCAGGATTCACCGTCATCCCATTCTGCTGGATCCTTATCGCCCTATTGGCCAAAGCCAGACAGTAAATTCAATTAGGCTCCTCCTTATAACTATATTATCACAGGAACAGGATGAATAATTTAGTAAAACAACAAGGGTGTGCAGGCTCTGGTGTCACAGACTTCACCCCCACTGGTAGGCTTTTATCAAAAAGAGGTGGGTAAAGAAACCAGAATCTGTCACTCTCCTGAAAAGGAGACCTTAGATTACCCGCTTGTATTTCCCATTTCATCCCTCTTGTCCTCCTCCCACTAAAGCCATGGCATTCCCTTTTTATCATTGTACATCTATCCCCAGCCCATCACAGTATTTTCCTGGTGAATGGCCATTACCGTCTCGGTGGATGCAGAGATTTCTGTCCAGGCAAAGCAATACAGCAGCCCTCCAAACACTTTGCCTCTTCCTTGAATACAAGGTGTGGGAAAAGAATAAAACCATTCTGCAGAAGGGAGTGACAAGACAAGCGGATCACAAGGAAATGGGAGAGTCTGCCTTGTATCACGACATCTTCTGTTCAGCAACTGCGCTGTCATCCTGTCAGTTCAGTTATCCAAAGGATGCAAGTACATGGTTCGCACTGCTTGGGGACTGTGATTTCACATGCCTGCTGTGGGAGTTTGAATCCCCACATCAAAAAAAGCACACCAAACTGACAGTTTTCCCTCAGACCAAATGACTAAGCTGTTCTGGTTTGCCTTTTTTTTTTTTTTTTTTATTTCCTGACCAGAAATCTGTAGTGACATCTAACTGTGCCTGTATTTTCCAAGAAACAGTTTTCCCAAAATGAACAAAATAAACATTGCTCTTTGTCCTCAAGTTATGCTTTGTTTGAAAAGTTACAGAGCACTGCAGCTTCCCTTAACAGGGTCACCACTGTTTAAATCAAGCCTCAGATCACCTCTTTTGCCTCTTACCACCTCAGTTTTGTTATGGGACTGGTGCTGGAAGTGGAGGAGCTCAGTGGAACAACCCCTCCCACCCTCAGATCAGACCAAGCAGCCAGAAGGGCTTTTTAATGACCAGTGACAGCAATACTGAAAGCTATTGCGAATATGTGTTCACAGGTACAGTATTTACAGCCACCTCATTCCATTGTAGCTGAAAAATAGGCAAGATGAAGAAGCCATGCTTCTTCCCTCGTAGGAGCTTGTGTCCCTCAAAGTCCAAGGACACCCTTTCTACTCTGCTTCCCCTGTCTAATATTTACTCAGCAGAGTCTATATACTTACTACCATAATAGTGTGAGGTTCATATTTGCACTAGAGCCCAAACTCCTTCGAGCAACTCCTACACCAGCTCTTGGTTTGGCTCCTCTCCCAGGACTGCCTGGCTCTAGAGACAGTAGGGACAGGAGGTTGAAGTCAAGCCCAAGTATCAGCACATCTCAAAGGCAGACCGCCACTGATCAGAAGTTTTCCTAAAGGCAATGTCTTTCTTTAGGCACTGTCTTCATGTTGAAGGACTGGCAGGAGACTGGGATAATGTGTGGCTATTGCCATCTTCTTAATTGTGAGGCTGTCTTTATTCTGTCAAAGCCCCACTGCAGGATGGAGTCATACTGCCTTCCCCAGGAGAATAGGGCACAGGAATGGTGGATGTTTTTGTCTTTCCCACCGAGTTTAAGGTCATCTAAAGAGAGAAAAATTCTCAACCAAGTTGTTGTCTTTGTCTGTTACGGATTTCCCTGCCACAAAATGGGACAAAACTGCCCTCCTGTTCCTGGAGATGCTTCTCTTTAGAAGAACGGCAGCTGCTTTTTTCCTCCTCCTCTTTCCCTTGCAGCCATCCAAACTTTTAAGAGTTTTTGTGTTAAAGGAAACCTTGAATTATGCACTTGGGGACATATTCAGGGCAATTAAATTAAGCCATGTGGCAAGTTGCCCAACGTCACTACCAAAACCTAGGATATTTTAGCATCATTTACTGTAGAGTTTTTACATGATGCTTACTTAAATCACAAAGAGAGCAAATTAGGCTGTTGCCATGACAACTAGAGAATCTGCTCAAAATTCAGGAGATGCTGGGGAGGGGGAAGAGCTCTTCACAGGAGACCTCTGCATCATGAATATGGCCCTTGGTTATCAAATCCCTTTCAAGTTAATTCCTAGCATCAAAGCCTCCCTGACAAAGGGTTTAATAATTGAGAGCAAAGCTTTGGCACAAACCAATTCTCTCAGTATGAATGTGAATTTATTTCTGGTAAGAGGTGCTCAGCCGAAGGGTGCACAGAGCAATCACAGAAGTGGCAGCAGTAGTACATAAACACATGAAGCATGGTGGAAGACTTGGCAGGAGGCTTCACTGCAGACAAGCGCTGAATAGAAAGGCAGATCATGACTCCGTGATGCAGTAAAGGTAAATAAGAACATTAAGAGAGTAGATGGGGAAGAAGAGAAGGAAGCAGGGTCCCAGCTTCTGCTCATGGAAACCCTATGGAAATTGGAATAAGCTGAGCAAAGTCTTCTGCCAACCCCAAGAAATGAATTAAAGCAAATAAGAGACCAAAATGTCAAGACAAAAAGAAGGATCAGTGGTATCAGAAGAAGCTGACAGGCTGAGCAAATTAAAGATAGGCTACAAGAGTTCTTTTTAAGGAATTGAATCCTTGGTAGGACTGCTGAATATTTTCCATCAAAGCTGGATCTCTGTGTAATATTTTTTTTTCAACTGAACACATTTTCTGTTACAAGCCTTCTAAGAAAATAATTATTTTAGTAGAAACTTTTCAGTGAAGTCTTTTGGTTCTCAATTGAAATAGCTGAGGTATTTTTGGAATAAAATAAAGAACATTTCTTTGAGAAAAAAATTGAAAGCTTTGTAGTTTATGTGGAAGATGTCTCCTTCCTCATAATTATTTTTGATGAGAGTATTTATTGCCATTGGAAGCTTTGGCGCTCTTCTCTGAAATGATGCCTCACTGGGCACAAGCCACTTGTGGAGGGTAGGAACAATAAGTGGGAGCGTATTCAAAATTAAAGAAAATGACACACGCAAGCAAATGGAGTAAACCGTGAAAGTTTCTCCTGCTCCCTCTTCATGCCCAGATGAAAGGAACTGTGTATAGTGATGAAAACGAGAAGCAAATGAGAAATTCAGGGAGAAACATGTGATTGTATTGTTGTGTTATACTCCAAGCAGGATACTTGCCAAAGCAAAAGCATACGTACTACAGGGATCTAAAAGTTCAAGAAATTGTGAAAAAGCAGCTAATAACAAGGATATAAATTCCCCCTTATTTGATGTCCTTTTCACCCTCTGAGGTCCAAGATTGATTGTCAGTCTGCTTTACTTGGGATGTTATGGCAATATTTCAGCAACATTGAGTTGGAGGTGTTGATCTTCTAACAGGGTCTTCTTCCTTGTGCTTGGGTACCACTTTTATAGGTTGCTAATAAGGTCTAAACTCTAATTGGTTGGAACTGGATAGGAAACAAGTCTTTAATTGGTTATTGACTTGCAAATGAGACTCCCTGCCCTCCCCAGCTATTTTGCCAAAGCCTTGCAAAAAGCATTTATTAGCTAATGGCACTGTAGCATCAGGAATAGGTCAGGCTGCACACAAGCCATGTAGGTTTGCTTTAGACTGAGAATAAGAGACAGAGTTGAGAGGTTGAAATGAGCATTTTTTTCATACAGAATATACTGCAACACCCTTTTTAACAACTGTCAGTGTGGCAAACGTGCTCTTGGGATGGTGTAACAGCAGCAGAGGCTTTCAAGTGGCAGATTCCACAGAAATAAATCTGAGGAATAGAGGACAAAGTGAGAAAGAAAAGGAAAGGGTGATGTGTAGCAGAAAATGAATGGGTTCCTTAGAATTGTCTGAGACTCTATTTTCTGAAGTGAGATGCCTCTGGGAGAAGCTGCATTTTGCCTAGTTAGACTGATGCATTATCCTGGGGCATCAATGCTAGTGCATATGTGTTTGGTGGACTTTAAGAAACATATTGCCATCCCCCTGAAAACACATTTCAGTGTCCCAGATTAAAATAAATTTTCATTCTTCAGCAATAGTGGCTTGTTATTTTAATAAACTTGGTTTTGGTGGTTTTTTTAAGACCACCTAGGTATCACATCTTAATTAAGGAAAAAACCTAAACATTTTTCTATCGGTATTCTTTACTTTCTTCAGTAAATTAAAGTGAAGGGTTTGTAAAACGAGTCTTACAAGGAGCAGCTGAGGGAACTGGAGAAAAGGAGGCTAGAGAAAAGCAGGCTCAGGGGAGACCTTATCACTTTTTACAACTGCCTGAAAGAAGGTTGTAGCAAGGGGGGGTGTCATCCACTTCTCCCAAGTAACAAGCGATAGGACAAGAGGAAATGGCCTCAAGTTGTTCTAGGAAATGTTTCGATTGGATATTAGGAAAAGTTTCTTTACCAAAAGCCCTGTCAAGAATTGGAAAAAACTGCCTAGGGAAGTGGTTGAGTCACCATCCCTACAAGTATTTAAAAGATGTGTAAGTGTGCTGCTTAGGATTATGGTTTAGTGGTGGACTTGGCAGTGAGAAGTTAATGTTTGGAGTCGATGATCTTAAAGTCTTTTCTAACCTAAGCAATTCTCTGATTCTGTGATTTGGTAACATTTTTCTATAATTAGTTTATCAGTTGCAGTGACTTCTGCTTGTTTGTTTGTTTGTTTTCTTGAATTAGAAAAACCTATTTAACCTTCCAGAGTTCTCAACCCTTTTAGCTACCAGGAAGAACATCTCATTCAAAATCCGAGGCTAAACATCATGTTTAGAAGGGACAGCTGAGCTGAACTCTTTTTTTAGTTCTTTTAAGCCAAGGGGCACTGCTCAGTCTCACAGTGTAGCTATAATGCTACAGGTAAACTCAATGCACTGACCAAATCTTGTTTCTTACCTTACTTATGACCACTCAAGAATAGTTTTAGCAACACCAAAGTATTCACGTTAGGATGAAACTCATCTAAAATTCAAGCAGGATCATAATCCTCACCTCCAGCAGACACTCATCTAAAAAGGGCCAGTGCAGATAATCT